CATCAATAATGATTATTAAAGGGTAATATATTTCAATTTAAATTAAATTATCAATTTAAAAATATACCTCCGTATTATTTATTTAAACTCACTTCCAATAGGAGAATATTAGAGGAGAGAATTGGATAAAAGATTACTAACGATATATATATATATATATATATATATATATATATATATATATATATATATTTTTTATGTGTTCTCTCGCTGGTTAGCATTTTGGTATATCTTTGTTGATTTTCACCTTCATTTCACAGTTGAACCCGGTCTATATAAAATTACTTCACTTGAAGATCTCAAGCGATAATGTTTCTGCTTTTTTCTTTTAGGTTTCAAGTGATTTCAGGTCGCCCACGATAATGGCCCTCCACCTAAAGTAAGGTCAGTCTTTTCACAATCCCTCCCGGTCCCTATTATGACATCCATTTAAACAAGTTCATTAGGTGGTCATAGCTCTCCACAACTTCCTAACGTTATTAAATCTAAACATTGTTTGTCTCCTTAATATCCCTATCAGTCTCTATTCTGTCATCCATTTACATGTTTGTTAGGTAAATGCTTATCCTATGCATTTCCTATACTTAACTCTAAACATTAGTTTTCGCCTTACTACTCCTTTTTATTCTGTCACCCATTTACACAATCTTGTTAGGCAGTTAAACACTGTTTTCCTCTGTCCATCTGGCTTTCAACAGGCCTTGTGAGTGTCAAATCCTCCAAATCTTCTTTCCTCATTATGTGTCGCAGAAATTTCAACAGATTCTTTCTGGTTCCAAGCTCAATTTATCGTTTCAATTTCCCTTAAAACTTCCTCCTTACTCACATCTCTATTCCACTTTATTCTCAGCATCCTCCTGTAGAAGTACATCTCTGTTGCTTAAACGTAATTTACTGCCATATGTGAGGACTGGTATTTCGTAAGTGTTCAACACTCTATTCTTTGTTTCTTAATAGTTTGCTTAGCATTTGGAAGGCATCTTTTGCTATCCCAATTCGCCTTCAGATTTTCTTGTGGCATTTTCCGTCCGCCGTTAAAAAAACACGTTCCAGATAATTCCGTATGTAGCTCGCATCTTCGATTGTTCCTCTTGACATTTAATGTTTTTTTTGTTTGTTTTTTTTTTACTTGGTACAATTCTTTGTTTGTGATCCTGTAGCGCCAGTCCCTAAGGCTTCGAATTGTATTCTTCACTTGCTCAAAGCCATTTCCATCCATTGAGCGGTTGAACGTTTAAACATTTCTGAACCGCTTCGGCCTTATGCAAGACATCCAAATGAAAGTCGCGATCTAACGAGGTTCCTTGAGAACAGGGCTCGAGTTTTCAGGTTAATGTTTTGGTTTTGTAGCAATGTGCGGCATTGAGCGAAACTACCACTTGCGCAGTTTATTCTATGTTCAATATCTTTATCTCCTATACTAAATCTGTTATAACTGATCCATACACCGAGGTATTTGAAGTATTTAAACTGACGAGGTCTGCCTATTTATTCATATAGATAGATAGAGAGTAACAAATAAATGTCCAACTCATCCGTCCCTACTCTGAGTCTCACAGAAATAGTATCAGGTGGCTCAGTTATAAATTTATTTTAAGGTTACCTCTCTCTCTCTCTCTCTCTCTCTCTCTCTCTCTCTCTCTCTCTCCTCTGTGTGTGCGTGTGTATACTAAAAATAGAAATTTCAAGTACCTTTCGTCCAACGTTTCGCTTTAAGAAACAGCGCAAAGAAGATATTTACCGTTTATGGAGATAGGCATATAGCTGAGAAGACTGTTTAGAAGTGTTTATAAAATTCAGAAATGAATATTTTAATCTGTAGGGGCGAAATCTTCCCGGCAGATTGATGATCAATACAGTAAATAAAAATATTCCAGATCACACAAAAATGGAAAAATGGCTGAGTCGCGTCATATATTTCACATGAGTGTTGCAAGGAATTTGAAGACATTTGAATAAGTGAATTGCTATGATGTTTGGTTGCTTACTATTTAACAGGGGGCACGTGGCCAAGTATTTAGAAAGTTTGCATTCTGATCATGAGACCAAGGTTCGATTCTCACCATGGTCGATTTGTTAGGAAGGAGACTTCCTGATATTATCCCAGCGTACGGAACCTCTGGGAAAAAAACCCTTGTGAGTGAAACTAGATAGCTCTGCTAGCACGAAGTCACAAGTCATCGTGACCGAGGCCTTGTTCGAATTGTTGATCACGCTAGATAACACGCTTTTTTCCCAGAAACTGTAACTAAGGTCTGCTCAGCATAGTTGCAGTATAAACCACGGGTGGGCTCTGTTGAACAAACACAAAATGTGCCTGAGCAAGCGTCTGCAATAGGGATTGGCTAGCCGCCCTATACTATTTAACAGAAAACAAATGAATGAAGAGTATTAACACCTACGATTCTCGTCTTATGCGAATTCCCACACAAGTCTCACTGACGAAACGAGAAGGACAATCTTCATGTTTTATTTAGATGGGTAGTAACGCTACTTTGTACATTTCGTCTTGATAGGCATGCAGTTGTATCTCCGATAGAGTTATTATTCATGTATAGGTTTTTGTTCCGACACAGAGTTCCGTAAGGAGGATGTAAATTCGTCAAGAATGTTGGCCTGATATAGTCGGGATCTTGCTGGTGAGTTGAAGTTAATGATAAAGTTGACTGTTTTAAATTTTATTAGTGGGAGCGGATACAGATGAAACAATCCAAGGGTTAATAGAACAGAGACACTCAATCTAATTTTACATCATTCATTAACAGCGAAGCCAAATATTTACCCATCCTCGATGTCTCGTAATGTACAGTGTGACCCTACATAATATAATTTTCTATTACAGATGGCTGACACGAGCTCCTGCAATTTGGAAGAGAGATAAAAGGTTAGAAAAATTTTCGAAACTACCCTGTTTATCTTTGAATTAGCGCTTCCGTTTCTTATGTCGAACTTGACTACAGCGTTTTTCACGAGAACGACCAGAGAACGAATTTCCACACAAGTCTCACGAACGAAACGAAAACGGCACTCTCCTTGTTTATTTAATTCAGGTATACGTAAACTGTGTGATGACCATCTGAGCTTCGGTTAGTAAAGAATCCAAAGGCATTGAAAAAAAAAATAGATTCTCGGAGCGAATCCACGAGAGTGTTTTTTTTTTTTTTTTTTTGTTTTTTTTAAAAATACAATCTCCAATAAGCTTGACATAAAAGGATTGGCTGAACTGCCACTACCGAGGAAGACATTGATCTTGTTCATCCCATGTCGATGGATGACAGGCGACAGACTGGAACTATAACTCAATGCCATATCACTTTGAAATACTAGTACGATCACCGAAGTTAAGCAACGTCCATCCTGTTGAGCACCTAGATGGGTGACTGCTTGGGAATATCAGGTGCTAGAAGCATGAATATGCGGGTGGTATGACTTATTGAGTTTACACCCGTTCACTGTTGCCGGAAAAAAAAACGCAGTGTCTGATCGGTGACAATGATAGTGGCTAATGTAACAATGTATTAAATTATTAACAAACACTGCTTCTATGGTATGCATATATTTTGTATCGTCTTCTTCCTAAAGAGACCGCTAAACAGTTGGAGAGTTACAAAAAATACGTCTAGCAAAAAAGTTTAGGCCACCTGCTGTAGAATGATCTGAAGGAAATGAAACAAAACATCAATAAATGAGGATTAAGTTGGTATATATAGTAACAAAAAAAGTTATTTTGACACAGAAAATATTTGCTCTACACCCCCAACAAATATTGCATAGTTTAACGCATTAGTTAACCCAAGAACACTAACTATGGGTATATAGTGTACAGCACAAATTTTCCTATTTTTAATTACAATTTTCAGTACCTGATTTTCTTACCTAAATAATACGTTTTTTAGTTCCTATTAATGTTAACTGAAAGTACAAAGTTTGATGTGCCTGTATGCAAAATATTTCAAATAAAGATTTATATTTAATATTTTTTTTTGATATTTTCAAAATCGGGTATGATATACCAATGGTTAGTAGTGGTGTAACTTTAATTGATCGTTAGTGTTCTAGGGTTAAAAACAACATGAACAAAAACTATTTTACATTCAAAATATTTATAATATTTTAAGATTCTATATTTCAAAACAATATATCAAGTTTTTACTTATAAATCTATTGTTTGGAAAAGATTTTTCAAGTAACTTTAATATATTTCTTTTTAATTAATAAGTTAGAGAAAATATTTGCATTTCTTAAAAAAGCTGTCATTCTAATTTTGCATATACATTTTTTTTTAAAATTAATCAGATATTCGAAAAAACAAAATTACTCAATTGACAAAACTTTATATATTTCTGGTTTAGCTCCAGGCGCATTCAAACTTGTTTCTTAAGAAACTGATTAAAAAAACAAAACAAACATAATTTCGAATAGTGTGAGGCCAAGAGACAAGGGACAACATTGACGACGCTAATAAACAAGCAGGCTCGTCATTGTATGGCGAGGTGAAGTTACAAGAAGAAACATGATGCGCTTCATATATAGCCTTCTTTTTTCTCTTTTCTTTTTTCCTTCTTTTTTTTTTTTGCTAACAAGGCTCAATAAATGGTGACTCAAGTAACAGAAAGCTGAACAAGCTTCAGGCATACACATGTTTCTAATTTTGACACATTGATAAAAGATTGGACAATGAATGATCTAGTCTGTCCTTCTGCCATAAGAATACTCTAAAACAAAGCTGCATCTTATAATCAGGAAAAAAGACGGCAAAAAACTTTTATGGAAACCTTATGAGGAAAGAGAACGTGACGAATTTAACACTCCCATTACAAAATTGTAGACAGCAAAAAGTGGGAACTACTTAAGGGGAAGACTTACAGCCACATCATGTTGAAACACTGGTTTTCATAATGATCACCGAAGTTAAGCAAAGTCGAGTCTGGTCAATACGTAGATGAGTGCTTACTTAGGAATACCAGGTGCTGTCACCTTCGATGGGCGGTTGTTATGGCTTACGGCCATATCACGTTGAAACAGCGGGTCCCATACGATCTTGAAGTTAAGCAACGTCGAGTCTGATCAGTATGTAGATGGTTGTCTGCTTGGGAATACCAGGTGCTGTAAGCTTGAATGTGTGGGTGGTGCAATGGAAAACAACTCGAAATTGTTAATCGGAGGGCCGAGTTTCAATACCCGTTAGTTTCATTATATTCACTTACGTGCAAATACCTTTGGGAATGGTATGAATCCACCTCTTCTCTCACCAGCAATGGGTTGATTAGCAAGATTTATATCACTAAACCAGTATTATCTCAAAACAAATTAAATAACATCCAATGAGTTGATAATCCGTAAAAAACGAATCAGTTAATCAACAAAAATACTTAAAGGGATTACCTGTTTCCTTATCAGTACCAGGATAAAAAGGGGCTATAATGAGTCAAAAGTTAAGAGAGGAAATTGTGGAGAGCCGTGACTACCTAAAGATATGGATTATTAAAGAAGAATTAACTGTATACCGGAATATGACCCCGTGTTTCTGAAGCTAAAAACAGGGAATAGATTATACCTTTGTATATGATACGACCCCGTAGTACAGCTATCTGTATGTAAATTTGTTTTGAAAAATTGTACCATACGATCCATTAAACTTCATTTTTCATGATATTAAAGAATAGAAAGGAATCTTTTGTTTCACCATTATGTGTTTCTTCTCCAAATTTAATTTATTTTAGAATTTTCGGAGAAAGATGCTAACTAGAGATATAACTAGTAATACATTTAAGTTGTTGATTAATCTGTCATACTTCTCTGTTTGGTATAACATTATCATATTTCTAGAAACGCTAACTTGTGTATAATACGACACGCCATTTTGCCTTTAATTTCCGTTCAAACTTTCTCGTATTATGCGTAAGAAATATATCTATTTCTACAGCACTATACAAACTGGTGTCTAATTGCGGGGAGATAGATAGCATTGAACCGTAGATATTTTTCTGTGTCCCAGCGAGTCAAAACACACTTCTTCAACTCGTATCAAATATATGTCAGAGGTCAGATTGAATGTTTTGATCTCAAGTGCAGGTGTGTCAAAAATAAGCTCATTTATGTAAGAATAGCAATAAAAGTATATATATATATATATATATGTGTGTGTGTGTGTGTGTGTGTGTGTGTGTGTTTCTGCAACTTCTGCGGGAGGAAGCTGCAGGTCATTTGAAAAGAGACTGAAAATACAATGCTGTTGTGTATGGACGAGATATTTAAAGATCAAAAATCTATTCTTCAAAATGATAAAGAGTCAAAATGAGCTGCCTTTGTTGCTCATTTTGATCAGCGTTTTGAAGTGTCTAGGTGGCTTTCACGTTTTTTGCTTCTTCTTCTTTGTTTTTGTTTTTTGTTGTTGTTTTTTTGTGTTTTTTTTTTTTAAACTTAATTCAGCCAGCGAAATAATTGGGCATTTCTCAAACAAAATAGGCTAAAAGTAACAGATTATTTCAAATAAATCATTCCAGGCATGTACGTGGCTTTAACAAAAGACTGTGACACGAGAACAAAGATTTGGGAGAGAAACAAAACTGAAAAAATTATAATGAAAACAAAAAGTAAACACTAAAAAAGATGATAAAGAAAAAAAAAATGCAGAATGGAATAAAACGTAAAACGTTTGCGCGTGCGTAAATAATTATTTCTTTTCGTTTTTTTTTATTTTTGTTGTATCGTAAAAAAAGTTGAACATATATAGAAAATATCTGATAATTTTCCAAGGTACATTCGCAAAATAACTGGTTACACAACTCTTTGTCCAGGAATGAGGCGTTGGTAGAATAGAAAGCCAACAAAGCTACAGATGTTCTTTATTTCTGAAAAGGTTACACAAGGGAAGTTTTTCAGCGTATTCGTGTAATAATTACTGCTCATTACGTACGCATGGTAGATATAATGAAATATCTTTATTGCATGCTTGCTCGTGTGACTAAATTTCGAAAACATCAGGGTTGACGCCGCTTCAGCCAAATCCAGCACATAATGCTTGCACTTTAAGAAATTTGCTTTCTGTTTTTTTTTTGTCCGTATCTCCCCTATACGAGCATTTAACAACAGAACCCAATGCAACCAACAGACCTGGAGGTAACGGTGGTCAGTTGGCTTTGTTTTACACATGCGGATCAGACTTGGGGATAAACTGTCCAAAAGCATGTTCCGGTACTATTTTTGTTTGAATCATTTATACCGTTTTGTTCATTATCAGACAAAAGATATACTATTTAAATGCTTGCATTTTTTTTTTTTTTGGAAGGTTACATATACATCATCATCTTGCGGCCTCAGCCGAGATTGAACTCACTAATACTTTGATTGGTGTAGTTCATAATCTTGTCAAATAGCTGAATTCTTGATGCTTCGCTAGGGCTATCAAGGGTGTTTTTATCGTGACACCAACACTAAATGGATTGCCAACCAAGGCTCAGAGAGAATCCATTCCCCCTCCTCTAAGGAGCAGGTTTGAATTCAGAGTTTTCCTTCTCCTAGACCAGTTGTTATCCAAGGCTATAGAACCCAGTCTGTTCTGCTGGAGAGAGAAGAAAGAGGATTCACACCTTTCCCAAGGGTGTTAACACGTAAGATTCGACTGGAATTCGAACTCGGCTCTCCGATTCCTCAGTCCAAGCCGCTATCCATTACTCCACCGTGCTTCCTCTACATATACATAACATTGTGAGCACAGCGTTTAAACATGATAACACTGCATACATGTATGTAACTATTTTATCAAGATTACGATCCCCGTAACCTACTAGGGTCATAGGTCGGCCAAAGGTACTACAGCCGCAGTAGCAGTTGTGCTTCCTGAGAAAGAGAACCTGACAGAGCCCAACCCTCTACTGGTTTGCTGATTTTCTAAGAGTAGCTTAGATCTGACACAAGGCTGATTGAGTAAGAATATAATATAAAAGGCTCAAACACTAACATTCAATGGTTATAATTTATTACACTGGAATCGTTATCAAAATCCAATTCATCAGACCTACAAATTCAAAAAAAGCTTCTTTTTTTTATTTGTATTATTTTTTTAATTGTATTTCTTTTTTTGATTCCAAAGTAATAAATTATATTCCATGGAATAAATTTTGACCATGGAATATTATATATATATATATATATATATATATATATATATATATATATATATATATATATATATATATATATATAGCATAATGAGAAGCCACGTATACTTTCTTAATATGTATATATATAAAAAGTTTCAAATTAAAAATTATAATGTTTTATTTTATGAAAGTATTTATTTATTTATATATATATTTGATGAAAATTGAGGACAATTTGAAATATCAAATATATATAAAATAAATAAATACTTTTTATAAAATAAAACATTATAATTTTTTAATTTGAAACTTTTATATATATATATATATATATATATATATATATATATATATATATATATATAGGGTTTCGAAAAAATTTACGGAGCAACTGAAGAAATCGAACACTCGTAAAATAGCAACAACAGGAAATTTATATGACATCACCATATTCTATAATTCATTCAATAAAATTTCCTAAACCTATATTTTCACATACAGGCATGTTATTTCATTTTTAAAATGTAAATTTGGTAAAATGTTATTATTTAATTTGGTAAATGCTATAAAGTTTCTCACCGGTATTGCGAATTTTGGAACACCGTGTAGATATCGACCTTATGAGAAAACATGTAAAAGTATCAAATGCTAAAAAAGCAGAAAAGTATAAAATCTATAGGTATACATATACAATGAGTTTGTGCAGAAAAGCATTGAACGATTTGGGGGCCTCCAGGAACCACTTCTCGGCAGTATTAAAAGGAGAAAAATGGTGTGATTTAGACACATTAAAGGCACGACAGCTTGTGCGAGACCATCATACAAGGCGCCGTTGAAGATGAACTTAGGAGAAGAAGCCAACGCAAAACTGGTTGGAAAATGTCAAACAATGGACACATATGACTATACTAGGATTTCTGATGGCTGCCGTTGATAGACCGTTGTGGGAGAGATTTAATGTGGCTTCTGTATTCAAATCCCCCTACGATTACAAAATTCAATGTGATTGTATATATATATATATATATATATATATATATATATATATATATATATATAATAGGAAAAAAGACAATACGAAGACTGTAGTTCTAGCCAACGCGTTTTGTCCAGTGTGGACATTTTCAAGGCAAAATAACGAAATGAATATATTGAAACAAAGTATCTATAAACAAAAAATAAAATGTCGTTAGTAACAAGAAGAATTTAGAAACGCTACTGTATATTCATTGGGTCAACTGAAAAATTAACGCATCGGCTAAAACTACACAGTTTTCTTATTGTTTTTTTTTGTTTGTTTTTTCTACAGATTAATTCTGAGAATTTTTGCACACATCTACATATGAGGAAATTCAATGATAAAATGGAAAAGTTTACTCGTGACGTTTTTTCGCCCTTCAAGACTTCATTGGACAACATTTATTATGTTTGTTAGGGCTACACATGTTCACGAATAAGGGGCTCTGGGAATTTTAAAATTTGTTTATAATTTGTAAAATTTGTAAAATATCTAGCCGAATTATTTTTAGAGGCTTATTTCTTTTTTCTTTCCGACACTTCTGTTAGTAGGTATCCCGCACTATGACATTAGAAGATCTGCCAGGAATGGCGAAATGTTAGATGAACCAGGGAACAAATTTATTATTGATGAACTTATGATCAAGGCAATCTGCAGGCATTTACGTCGTAGTGAATTCTCTTCACATTTGGTGAGAGTAGTATTTTTATGCTAAAATTGTGGTCAATCTCGTTAAGATGAGTAACCAACGCATTTAACCTATTGTTTTGTAAAATGTTCCCTTTGCGTTCATATAATCTTTTATTTAGGTTCCTTGAAGTTTTTCCTATGTAATTATTGTAACAATTATTACAGGCGACGGAGTAAACTCTTTCAGGTTTTAGTTTATTGCTTTGTTTAGTGTTGATGAAGTCATTTATTGTTTTGGATATAGTAATAACAAAAATTTATGTTGAGTTTAGATAGATTCTTTTCGATTGTAGATGTGAT